GTTATGCTATTGTGAGGGGAAAACTAAAACCCTTTGCTCAACATGTCTCGAGCATTTCTGCTAGTATGCAGACAGTGGTGAGCCCATTGGGACCCCCTGTTTTTGCAGGTATATTTTCCCATTGAAACAAAAATAATTGTGTTCAGTAACAAAAAGTAAAGCCTCTCTTATCTCTAAGAGTTGCTGTGCTAAAAAGCACTCCTTGATGAGTAGTGTATTGGCAAGCATAACTGCCTCAGACTGAGATACTAAGGGGTAGAGAGCTACAACATCCATTTTGTAGAAACTGTACCTATTAGGGGTCAATTTATCTAACTCAGCAGAAAAAGATGCTTTAGCCACAATGGAGGAAGATGTAACAAGGGGGAAGGAAGAAAGAGCCCACTTAGAAGCTTGGCAAGTGCCTTTTCAAGGTGGTAGTTTGGGTGGGTCCTTTTGTTAACCAGCAACCTCAGTGGCCAGCCCTCTTTATGTGTTTTGACCTCAAAGAAGAGCCTGGGGCATGCTACATTGGACAGAGGTTCCATGCGCCCGGGAAGAAGAGCATATACACTTGGTAGAGATATTATTTTCTTAATCTTCCTTAAAATGGTAGAAGTTGGATCAACCTGTAAGACTACTGCATGGGATTGGCTAAGGAAGTCCGCAGCTCTGGTTAGAAAATCCTCTTCCCTGCATAAGACAAACTTCTTCTCCTTGTCCGAGATCAGTAGCCTTAAGTGGGCTGTCGCCAAGTACTGCCTTACAAGTTGGCTGTTCAAGGAGTTTTTGTTGTCACCTGTGAATTGCTTTTGAGATGCAATCGTTGATGAAAAGTTCCATATCTGGGAATTTGGTGGCCGCTTGACAGTTCTTGAGTGCTGCTAGGACTGCTGGGACCACATTGAAGACACCAGTATCACATAGTGGGGGATATACTTAGGTCCCCTTTGTATGATCTTGGAAATCCGGGCTGGAATGTGTTCCTCCATGCAGTTGTAGAATGAGATTGGTCTATTAGTATTGGAATAAAGCACATATTTTTTCCAATACTAATACAGCATATATTTTTGAACCTGATCTCTGACTCTGTTTCATTACTTAACCTACAAGGTGTGATAAGTCTGTGCAAATCAGCCAAATTTCAGTTACATCAGGAAGAATTAATAAATTATATTATGATGTAGAATTATGAGATTGTAGATGTTTGAAAACAAATATTTGACAATAAACTTTTCAGTTTTATTTTCAAAAGCTAATCAAACTTTGTTATAAAAAGTTTCAATTAATAACATCCTGATTTATTGAGTTAATTCTAACTATAGGTATTTTCTAAATAACACAGAAGTTCTTTAATCTGATACCTATAAGACCAGGGTGATGTGGATTATCAAAAATGCAGATTACTGGATATTTTTGTATTTTCACAAAATTCAATAAGTAATGCAATAAGTAAGCAGTATGCTATATAGTGTGTACTGCTGTTTTATGCTTTCAATTTGATGTGTATGCTCTTTAATCAGTATAAAGATGATACAATGCATAATTACACTGTATTAAGGTTGACTGGAAATTCTGCAAAAACATTAATGAGTACATTAATGCATAAAGTCAACATTTGCAACGAGTCTTGTGTATATAACATTTATTTTTCCAGATATTTTCAATATACCTATGATTCACAATAACTACACACATTGAATATGAGAAACCCATTTTTACATCTGCTGTCCTCAAAATGGCCTGAAAAGAAAATACAATGATCATGTATGTTACTGAACAAAAAGTGTATGTGCTAACTCTAATGAAACAATGTCTGTTCAGTACAGTATAATACAGTATTCAGTACAGTATAAGTACAGTATTCAGTACAGTATAAGTACAGTATAAGTACAGTATAAGTACAATAATACAGTATTCAGTACAGTATAATACAGTATTCAGTATACTACATATAGTATACTGAATTATAATGACAGATGATGCCAGATTAACAAACTTCTACCATATATTGATAATTATAATTATTGATAGGTTAAATGAAGACATTCAATAACATTATTATTATTTAGAATAGAAAAAATAATAAAAACTATTTGTTTGTTATCTGTTAACAAAACAGTAATCAATAATAAGTCATACATTCCACACTATTTCCAGCAAAAACAGTTTAATAAAACTTAATGAAACAAACATTTTCAGCTACATTAAGTGACCTACTTCAAATTTTTGACATTCAGAAATTGAACATCTGAATAGAATAAAAATTTAGAACATTACCAATGTTCTTGTGAAAATCATTATTTTCAAAGTATATTTTTTATATGGGTACATTAACTTGGATAAAGACATTTTATTTATATGTTCAATTTCTGAATATTAAAACCTGAACAGGCCACTTAATGTAGCCAAAAAGGTTTGTTTTGTTATTAAACTGTTTTTACTAAAAATACTGAGGAATAATAGGTCACACTGAGTTATTATTTATATGTTCCAGTTCACAATACAGAGAATTGTAACAGTAATCAATATACAGTAGAGCGTCGATTTTCCGAAAGTCAATCATCCGAAAGAATTCCAGTTGGCAAATTTAAATTTTTGCCAGTGCTGTGGCGCTTCAATCTTTGGCTATGTCTTGGACTACTCAAATATTTTACGTTTTTGATACTAAATTAACATCTGAAGTATAATTTTTTATTATTTTTATATTTTTCAATATATTTATTTTGTTTGTACAAAATAAAAAAATAATTTTTAACGATACAATAGTCTTTGTTAGGCTTAACATCGACGAAAATTCAACGCGAAACGACACGCAACGGATAAAAATTTCGACATCGGATACATTTAACTATTTTTTCATATGTAAATCAGTTATCCGGACAACCCCAGTCCCCAATTGATTCGGAAAATCGATGCTCTACTGTATATTCAAAGTACCATATATGATGGTTTATTAGTCAATTTGATATATAAGTCAACTTCTAGATTTTTAACTCAAAATTCTGCTTTAACTTTATACCCAATGTATAAGTTGACCCCAAATATATAGTAGGTTACTAAAATGAACTAAAATGTAAATTTGATATGAAATTGCCTATGGTGGAAAAATATATATTAAAATCATACTATTTTCATCAAGAAACTAATTGTAATAGGCTTCTATATATATGTGTGTGTGTGTGTGTGGGGGGGGTTTAGATGAGTAACCCATTAAGACAATAAATTTTTGAGGGATTGCAAGGGAGACAAGGAGAATTAGAGAGAGGGACAAGTAAGGGGAGAAGTGAGGGAAGATGACAGTTGGTGATGGCGCAAAAGGGACAAAAGACATTATGAAGGCCAGAACATTATTGTTCTATCAAGACAGTTACAAACACTGGAAGATTATTGTCATTTCTAGTTCTATATTTCTATCACTATTCCCACATATGTATTATATAGCTCATATAAAAAGAGATGTAGGAAAAGGATCTAAAAAAGACATCAAACAGCTGCTAAAAATTTTCAGTAAGTTACCTTGGTAAGAATTCTATTGTACATCAGATCTACCAGTAAACATATTCAAACAAAATCAACATCTCTAATAAAATATTAATATTTTACATAGCATAGTATAATAATAAATAGCATGTAATGGCAAGCTATTGTATTATATGCTATTTTTAACAGTATTATTATGATACTTTAAACAGCAATGTAGGACAGTTGATACACCAGCTGTTGAAAATGTAAGGTTGTCGACTTTTAGGGGGGATCAATTAATCCCACATCAGGATGAACCTAAGGGAAGTTCACATGTGGGCTGTGGCAAAGAAGGCAAATGATGACAAGTGTCTTACAATGGAAAAAGCTGTTTATTTGGTAACGTTTATGCTTACATCGATAATTGACAATTCCAGTTGTCTATAGTCCTATGCAGTGGCGAGAACTTTGGCTTCGGTCATAGCCCCGGGATGGACAAGATGGAATCAATGGACAATGCAGACGATTGCAGAGATGCTGTGGCGTCCTCAGTTGTTGGTGGTACAACAACACAATATACAGAGCACGACTTTGAGCTTAATCCAGAGGAAGACTGTCCTTCGACCTTGAATTTCCAATTTTTATAGTTTTTCTCCCACTATTCGTATTTCTGATTGGCCCCTTGTCCCTTTCCTCACTTCCTGATTGGTCTCTTCTTTATTTCCAGGTGAAAAACCAAGACCTGATCGCATCACGAGAAAGGTCCAATTTGAGGTGTCTATTCGACACCTTTTAGTTCACTATGCTCAGAGATCGTTGATAAAACCATAAGACTTGCGCTCATAATTTAGCCCGTTGTTTGTGATTTCTGTTGTCTTGGAACTTTAACAATCATACACGATGTTTTTCTATCCATCAAATCTTTCCCCTTATCCAAAATTGTTTTTCTAGATTGACTGTTTATGACTGCTTGAGTCAGAGTTCTACCCTTTCAGTTTTACATTGACAGATCGTTTAACACAAGTTGTTATGTAGTCCCGGGGGGGCTTGTTTACATTTTGTGCCACGTTGTTTAGATATAGGGGTTTTTTCCTTTCTCTCTAATATAATCTATCGTTATAATTTAAACATAAGAATTCCGCAATTTAAGAACTCGTCTGGGATCTCACAAAAACAATGTGTTGTTTTGTGTTCATTTATACTGAATTATTATTATTATATCAGTCCTTATGTTAAACAAGTTCACCAAATATATTATTTAGTTGCAAATATTTACAGTAACCTGTTGAAGTTAAAAAATTATTAACAGATGTAAATAAAATTAACTAATATTGATTAAACAATCATTTCAAATACATACAATATTATGAAATGAATTATAAAAAGTTTTATAAAGAATGTATAAGAAAAGGTTTAATTTTTATTTCTGAAGTGTTTTGGATATCATTATGGGTAAAATATGTATCTAAGATAAGAAATATATATATATAAAATAAATCAGTTATTGCTAATATATTTCAGTAGAATAGTAGAATAATTTAAAAAAAATTACTTACTGAAGTTTTGCTTTTTGCTGTACTGTTTTTTGGTGGCAATTTTTCACCAATCACATTAATTGCTACAATGCCAACCTAAGACAAGATTTTAAAAGACTATTAACAGTTGTTATATATAAAATCTTAAATAATTAAAAAAGGAGAAAAAAATACTTTGAGCAATTTACTGTTTGGTCAGAATATTTTTAGAAACAAATAATGCATATTTATATAAACAAAAAACAAATATTTAATAAAATCAATTAAAGTTAATTATAATATTGTAGATTTTAATAATAATATTTTTAACTATTGTTATTTCAGTTAATATTCATTAACTATATGTATGACAAAACTTAATATATAAAAATTTACAGTAAATTTAAGAAATTACATACATTAATTTATGCATATTTACTATTTTTATGAAAAAAATAATTATAAATAAACATTTAATTGCACGTAATATATTGAAAACAAATTTCAGTTTAATAAATAAATATGTTAATATTTGATTGTTCTTATATAATAATGCAATTCTATGGGGGGCGCTTCAGTCAGCCGAGGCTGTTGGNTTATTATTATATTCTGTTCCTTATTATTCACAAAAAAATAGATCGATACAAAATTCTGTTTTCAGGAGATAAATGGCTATATGCCATCCATGACACAAGCTCAACCATTTACATCTTTGTATGCATTGTTAACCAAAGTGTAGATGTGTCTGTTAAAAATGCTATAGAAAACTGTCCAACTTTGTCTTCACAAATGTTTTTATACTTAACAGCAATTCAAAATAATATTAATAAAATGGACAAACATTTACTACTATCCCAAGAATTCTTTATATTCTCTTTATCTGAATAATAAAGTCTCTATCAATGAACTAAATGATAGCCTATACTTTGTATTATTTGTTTTCTTTCTTTTTTTTATAAATGTTATAAATGTTTACTTTTAAAAATTAATTGGTTATAAAAATTCTTTATTTAATAATTTTTTAAATTTAATAGTTTCTTCTAAATTCTTATTATATTTGTTCTTGTATTTACTTATACAAGTAGTTTCTATCTAGTTTATTCATTTGTTTATTTACAGTATAGAACATTTAATGCTAAATATTGTGAACAGTATCTTTTTAAAAATAATGTGAGTTACATCAATCAACTTCTATACAATAGTTTTAATATAAAGCTAAAATCAGCAATATTTGCCAAATGCAATCTTATTTTTGTAACCACTAAAAAGGGGTTTACAGACAAATAAACAAATTTGTTATGTCCTTTCAATCCAATGTTCACCAGAGGTCAAAAGCCACTCAGGAGACAATTTTAATTCACAGATCTTTTATTTAGGCCTATATGCATTTCAGATTGAAATGACAAAGACAAAACCTTTCTCACTTGTTTCTAGCCATTTATACATGAGTACGAACGTTTTCAGCCTTCTTAATAGGCCTTCTTCAGGTACACTGTGGTCTGTTGAGCGTCAGTTGGTAGGAATTTAAACAGTGCAATGTTTACATAGTCTTACCAGTGACATCATCGTTGATGATAAGGCTTAGATGATACTGAGGGCATTAAATTTTTTTATTTTGGTAAAAATGAAAGGTGTGCTGATAGTTCATGATGGAATAATTGCTAAAGTTGGGAAATAAAAATGGAAAATAAATGCGCTAAGTAAAGAAGATGCACTATCACAATAGGGGATTAATGGGGAGTGACGTCATAGTTAATAACGGAGCATAGATGATGCTGATGTCGTTAAATAACTTATGATATAATAAGAAAAGGCGTACGAACGACCATAGATGGGAAAGGTGCTATGCTTGGAAAGCAGAATTGGAAAAATAAACGCGACAAGTAAAAAAACACTAACAGTTGCACGAGGTGAGGGTGGGTTGGTCTATTTAGTTTAAGGAGTTATCGAAAAGTGATTTCCATGCGGAGAAGAACGAGTCTACATCTCTGCTGTTAATACAACTCTCTTTGAGGGATTGCTTAAATATTTCAATGGTTTCAACTGTTCTAAGCTTGCTATTGTCATGCACAGGAATAATAAGCTTTGCCTCTTCCCATTTGGTCGTTATACTAGGTTTGCTTGCAAACTGGGCTAGGGTAGAAGTGAACTTTTTGTTGTATTTGTCGTATTTGTGTTCAGCTATCCTCTTGTTAAGCGATCTATTGGTTGAGCCAATGTATGTTAGTTTTTTGCATGGGTTGGATCTGCTGTCCTCTAGTGGAACTGTGTAGACTCTTGGTCTCCTGGCTTCGCTGCATTTGTCCTTGGTATTAGCCAGAAGTTTATAAATTGTAGGGTTGCGTTACCTATGTAAACATTGACACCATTTAAATTTCTACCAACCAATGCTCTAACAGACCACAGTGTACCTGAAGAAGGCCTTAAGAAAGCCAAAAACGTTTGTACTCATGTATAAATGGCTAGAAACAATTGAGAAAGTTTTGTCTTGGTCATCTTAAAATAGTTATAGCTACAAATGCATTTCAGATTGAAGTTTGTACCAATCCTTCCTCAGTATAGATGTACTCTGCGACAGTTTTGATTTCTTTCAGTAACATTACATAAATCACAAATAACAAAGTAACATCAATAACATACAGTAACAAAGGATTGTTACAGCATTTGATGTAAGATTAAGAGAAATCAAAACTGTTGCAGAGTGCACCTACATTGAGGAGGGATTGATACAAACTCCAATCTGAAACGAATATAAATAAAAGATCTGTGAATTAAAATTGTCTTCTGAATGATTCTTGACCTCTGGTGATTGTCAGATTGGAAAGACATAACAACAAATTTGTTTATTTGCTTGTAAACCCTTTTTCAATGGTTACAAAAATAATAATACTTTTAATCATTTTTTTTCTTTTTTTTTCAAACTTTAAATATAAAACTTTGAAAATAAAGGAAATTTTATAAAAAGAATAATAATAAATTATAAGTTTTTATATTTCAACTTACATTTATTAAACTTATTCTTTTCAAAAAATATTCTAATTTGATAATATAATACTTACTAGAAAATTTTTTATGAAAGACTAAACTTTAATTTAACCTTAAATAAGATAAATCATAAAGAATTTTGAACTTATAAGAAGAAATTAAAATATTTAATGAATAAAAAAAATTATCATTAATATACTGGGATCAAATATAAATAAAAAAATTCATATTAATTTTTATATAAATAAGCTTTAAAATTAAAAATGAATATAATAAAAATTATTTTATCAATATTTTTATATTATAAATGTTTATTATAATAGAAAAAAATATTGTTAAGTTTAATTGAGGTCAGCCAAAATCCATTTTGTCCATATGCTATGGACAAAATGGCACATTACGTAAGGACAAAATGACATACATGTAAAAACTAAAATTACTGACAAAGTTCA